AGAAAATGCTATCTGGGAATATGGTGCCCTGGGTCCATGTTCATAGCTCCATTCCTCTCTAAAATCTATACTGGGTTGACTCAACACTAAGAAGTGTGGGTTTACTTGTTTAAGACTGTTGCCTTACAGCCTGTCCTCCAGGAAAGGAGTTGGCCACTGCAAGTTCAATTCAGTCACTCAGTTGTGTCCGACTCTTTGCATCCCCATGGAATGTAGCACGCCAGGCCTCCCTGTCCATCACCAACTCCTGAAGTTCTCAAACTCATGTCCATTGTGTCCGTGATGCCATCCAACCATATCATCCTCTGTCATCCCCTTCTCCACCGGCCTTCAATCTTTCCCAGAATGAGGGTCTTTTCTAATTAGTCAGTTCTTTGCATCAGGTGGCCAAAGTATTGGAGTTTCAGCTTCAGCATCAGTCCTTCCAATGAATATTCAGGTCTGGTTTCCTTTAGGATTGACTGGTTTGATCTCCTCATAGTCCAAGGGACGTTAGAGAGTCTTCTCCAACACCACAGCTCAAAGGCATCAATTCTTTGGCACTAGGCTTTCTTTATAGTCCAACTCTCACATCCATACATGAATACTGGAAAAACCATTGCTTTGACCAGATGGATCTTTGTTGGCAAAGTAATGTCTCTGCTTTTTAATATGCTTTCTAGGTTGGTTGGTCATAACTTTCTTTTCAAGGAGCGTGTCTTAACTTCATGGCTGCAATCACCATCTGCAGTGATTTTGGAGACCCCCAAAATAAAGTGTCACTGTTTCCACCCTTTCCCCATCTATTTGCCATGAAGTGATGGGACCAGATGCCATGATCTTAGTTTTCTGAATGTTCTGTTTTAAGCCAACTTTTTCACTCTCCTCTTCACTTTGATCAAGAGGCTCTTTAGTTCTTCACTTTCTGCCATAAGGGTGGTGTCATCTGCATATCTGAGGTTATTGGTATTTTTCCCGGCAATCTTGATTCCAGCTTGTGCTTCCTCCAGCCCAGCTTTTTTCATGATGTACTCTGCATATAAGCTAAATAAGCAGGGTGACAATATATAGCCTTGGTGTTGTTCCATGTCTAGTTCTAACAGTTGTTTCCTGACCTGCATAGATTTCTCAAGAGGCAGGTCAGGTGATGTGGTACTAACTAACTGAATTTTTCAGTTTGTTGTGATCCACAGAAAGACTTTGGCATAGTCAATAAAGCAGAAGTAGATGTTTTTCTGGAACTCTCTTGCTTTTTCGATGTCTAACAGATGTTGGCAATTTGATCTCTGGTTCCTCTGCCTTTTCTAAATCCAGCTTGAACATCCACAAGTTCACAGTTCATGTACTGTTGAAGCCTGGGTTGGAGAATTTTGAACATTGCTTTACTAGCCTGTGAGATGAGTGCAATTCTGCAGTAGTTTGAGCATTCTTTGGCATTGCCTTTCTTTGGGATTGGAATTAACACTGATCTTTTCCAGTCCTGTGGCTACTGCAGTTTTCCAAATTTGCTGGCATATTGAGTGCAGCACTTTCACAGCATCATCTTTTAGGATTTAAAATAGCTCAAATGCAAAACCTCCATTAAAGCTGGCCGCTTGCTTAAGACAATCAATCCCTGACTCAACCACTAAGAAGTGTGGGTTTTCTTGTTTAAGACTGTGGCCTTACAGCCTGTCCTCCAGGAAAAGAAGTTGGTCACTGCAAAACCTCCATTAAACCTGGCCACTTGCTCAAGACAATCAATCCCCAGTCCCAAGATATCTGGTCCCACACAGGCAAGGCAGATGTCTCCACTCGCTCAGTAGCACCCACTCTGGCACAACCCAGAAACAAGATTCCTCCCTTTTCTCCCTTACCCTGTCTACCTCCTATCAAGTCCTATTGGGTCTCCCTCCAGAACATCAACATTCAGATGGATATTTTTACTCTGTATTTCTCCTCTAAAATTAGTCTCTATTTATTACAGTTTACTTTCTGCACTCAATTCTTTAGGTGGGTATTTATTGATTTATCTTTCACTTTTGCGTCCTACTTTCTATTTTTTTAATTCCCTTCTTCCTGAAGGACCTCTTCTTCATCCTTTCTTTCCCTGGGGGCTTTTCTTTGTATTATGCATAAAGTAATATTCTATACACAATAGCCCTGAACCTCACAACACTTAAAAGATTCAATTTCTTTTTACTAAGTCAGTGCAGTCTTCTTTCATTCTCTGCTGAAATTCAATATCATTATTCATTGGTACTTGTCAGTGTGGTACTGAAGAAAACTCCTGAGAGTCCCTTGGACAGAAAGATCAAGCCAGTCAATTCTAAACAAAAAATAGTGACAGGAGCCAACTGAACATTTAAAAAAAAATATTTACTTATTTGCCAGGCCTTAGTTGAAGCTTGCAGGATTTTTAGCTGAGGCATGTGAAATTAGTTGCAGTGTGTGGGATCTAGTTCCCTGACCAGAGATTGAACCCAGAGCCCCTATTTTGGGAGCAAGGAGCCTTAGCCACAGAACCACCAGGGAAGTCCCTCAACACTGTTAAGTACACATCTGCAACTCTAAATATCTTACCTGATTTGAGAAAAGTATTTGCAAGTTATTTGATAGAGGCGAGACCAAACTTATCCATCTAATTGTGCTTGTTCCAGAATCACTAGTTTAACCACTTTTTTTTTTACAATCTTAAAAACTTTGGAAACTCAATAGACTTTTTTCAAAATTTAATCTGAAAAATTGAAACACATTTTTAAAGCATTTTTCATTTAAAAGTAACCCCATTACATGGTTAAATAAATAAATTTTGGAACTTCCCTGGAAGTCCAGAGATTAGGACTCCATGCTCCCTCGGTTGGGGAAATAAGATCCACATGCTGAGTGGCACAGCCAAAAGAAAAAAAAGTTATGATAAATAATTATCTAAACAAATTTGAGGAAAGCATTGTTTTACATTTTTGCAAATCTAACTTTATAGCAGACAACTGAATTCTCTAATTTACTTGTACCTTCTGTTGCTGAGATATATTGTCTTGATGTCAACAAAATCCAATCTCAAATACAGTTTTTTATATAGTGTGTTCACAGCCTTTTCAGATAATCATGCATCATTCCTGATACTGTATCGAAAAGTTGACAAGCAACTGTTCCATAAAGACTTAGTGGCAATGAATTTAGCTTTACTTCTCAGCTGGCAAGAAGCTGATACCACAAAGAAATTTTCACATTGTTTTATTAAAATCCATTGGTCTACCTGGCATTATGAATGGATCTCTTATCTCTTTGCATTGGTCATCAGAAATATTGGTCCACTAAGCTATATAGATGTTCCAAATACTGGCACTTTGGTGTACAATATCAAAAATAATTATGTTCATTAATATTCTCATTGAGTTGATTACAGGTCCAGGTAGTGGGATGCTATCAATTGCATGGTCTTGGATTAAAAATTCCCCAAAATCCCAATTTTTCTTTGAAAGCTTAAATTTTATCACCGGCAACAAATACTTTTATCCACCTTGAATTATCAGGATGATGTAGTTTGAGACAAACGTCAAATGACTTCAAGTAAAAATGATGTTCCATGGGACTACTTTTTCTCAATGACAATAACATCACCATTGATTTTGTACTTCTCTTGCTTTACATCATTCTGGAATGCATATAGTTCATTATATGTGCTTGCTATTTCATCACCAAGGATATTTAAAAGATGTACATTCAGGGGTTGAGACTTAACAACTTGCACTACTTTATCAGACATTCTTAAGGGAGACTTTTTTTTTGAGAGATCCCAGCAGTAAAGAGCACAACGACCAATGACCACTATTAGTCTGGAACTATTGCATTGCCTCAACTGATGCCATTTTACAACTTTGCTTTTCTAACTGAAACTTCTATTGACATTTAAACCATCAAATACTCAGGATGAGCACCATGACTTTTCCTATGGAAGCATGCTGCTTAATATTTTGATAAGCCCCATCTTTACTCTTCAGAAAGTAGTTTTAAAACTTGTGAAAAATGAGTTACCACCTCAAAGATGTTTATTAAAGTGCATATTTCTGTAGTGCTAAGAATATTGATACTAGCAAAACTGAAGCTATACATCCATTAAGTAACTCTCCATTTTTCCCTTGTTTTTCAGTTTCTCAGTCGTTTTTGACTCTGCAGCCCCATCATTACTTCCAATGAATATTCCATTTCTTCCTACTCCCAGAAAAAATTTTAAAATGTATTTTTAAAACCTTGTAACATTAAGGTTTTATGAAAACAACAAATTTGTACTTCTAGTTGTCATATAAAGCCCAGAAACATTTGAAGAATTTTATTTTGCCTTCCTTGAAATTTCCTGAACCTAGAAAAATTTTTGCTCCTCTTCTGAATAAACCTGAAAACATGTTTCTTTTAAAAATACCTTTCTAAAATGTGTTGCTGTGAGGATAGGCAACAAAATTAAAATCAAACCATTTCCAACCTAGTTTTTAAAAAATAAATGTTTATTTCAAGTATGAAAAGTAATGTTTAAACATTATTCCAAAAGCTGTATTCCATTTAACAAGTATAAAACGAGACTTCTGACAAAAAGTTAACAATTCAGTATAAAACATTTTGACATTCACAGTGAGCATTTCTGAAAAAATAAGTTTTGCTAAAAAGTTTTAGAAACAAAAATACAGTCCCAGAGGAAATAAACTAGTCCTTAAATAAGGAACAAATCTCCCTTAGGATGGATAGTTAGCATTTCAAAACAAGATCTGTATAAAAATTTCTTTTAAAATAATGGTACACTTGGTTCAATAATGTCAGAATTCAACAGCTTATGGTTTCCTTGACAAATACCCTATTTCTTATGTCTGCTACCCACAAAATAAGGTTCTCAAGCCAATTCAATTAATTTCAATGATATGTATAACCTTAGGGGTAACAAGACTCAGAAATTTTATCATGGCAATCTTGAGCATTTCCAGAAAAATATTTAACAGAAACTTTCTGGTGGTAATTACAGAACCACCAGAAGAATTAAAGTCTCAAAATTATTCTACAGGACTGCTACCCAGACTTCTGCTTCGCTTCTCCATGTATAGCTTTTTGTAGGTTTGAAACATTGCTTTTGAATCTTTTACTGGGTTTTGTAGTATCTCAAATCCATCTGCACTGCAGTTTCTCTTGGAGAGCCTTGAATTAGCCAAAACATTATCATCTAAGGAAACAAAAATTTTACTTTGTTACTCTTAATGTTAGTGATCAGTACAATCAATATAAATTGAGAGAGAAAACATGCATTCTTATATGCAATAGAGTTAAGTGTAACAATGGGTCTTTACCTACAGAATTATAAAGTATATAAACAGGACATCTAGCCTCTCCTTTAGGGGCCATTTACTACCCCATCCCCATCTTCACTGACCAGGGCTATTCTCCTTTACCTATACTCCTACCCAGTAAAATCTCTTATCATTTGCATACTATTAAGAATGTGACTTTCGTAACCATCTAAACTAGCAATATAAAATGCACCAAGGCAAGCCAGTTCCAAAGAGCACATGCAAGTACAGTTTGCATATTCTGGCCTTACTATGCATGAGGTATTCTAAGAAATATCTGTATTTCTGTTTCTTTCAACCATAGTGCTATGGTTAGTCTCACTATCCTTTTTTTGATGGGCCCAGCCAGCTATTCTGTGCATTTTTAAATGTACCTTTTTATCTGAGAAGCTATTCCGAGTTCCTATACTCAACATTCCTGCTGTAGCCATTCCTTTCTGGATTAGAAGTCCTGTTTTACTTCTTTCAGCCTGGATGGGTCAAGTACTCTGTCCTCTTAATTATTATTCTTCATTTTTTGGTTAAGAGTATGGTTACTGTTAAATTCTTAAATGTTTCAAGTTCTTCTCTGACCACATCAGCTTTCTGTCCTGAATGCTGATCCCTGAGGTGGGCTCTGAGTGGTTTTCCACTGGATTGTCACCTCCTCATCTACCTCAGCCTGACAGTTTCACCACTTGCTCCATTTACATTCCAACTTCTGCCACCAAATTTACTGTCACTTATCTAAAATGTATTTTTTATAGCCATCTAAGAGTTGACGACCTTTGTTTTTGTCTCATTTTAAGCTTGTTCTAGTTCCCTAGTCTCTTCATCTTGGTATGCTTTTTCATGATTTCCTCGAGTCTCATTAGACTTTTGACAGAGCTCCAAACTTGTTTCTTGGCTTTCCTCTCACCCTGCTGCAGCTCCCATCTGGGCCCTGGTTTGTGTCTTTTTCATCATGAACCTGAGCACTCATGTCCACCTTCACTGTTTATTGTTCATCCTGTCTGCAGTTGTCTTCATGTCTGTCGTTTAGCTCGTGACGTTTCCTGAGCCTCTCTGGTCACTCTGCGAATGTGTCTGTCTTCTGAGTATTTTTGGACTCAGGTTCCAGTTATGCCTCTCATCTCTGAGGCAATGAGGCAAGTTATGTCCCCTCCCACTTCCAAAGACCTTTCTTGCCCCAGTCGCCACACCCATTTACATCTTTCTCATGTCTTACTTTCTGTGTTCCAACTTTAGGAGTGTGTTTTCTACTTTCTCACCAATTCATTTTTTGCACTTTCCATTGTCTTCTTATTCTAATTAAGACTTCATTCCTTTTTATTTTGATTCAATTCAGCTTAATTTTTTTCCTGTATATATCTTCAATGTAGAAGATACATACATGCCTGTTTATATATATTTGTTTTTTAACTCTTCTGTGGGCATCCCTGATGGCTTGGCAGTAAAGAATCCACCTACCAAATGCAGGAGACATAATAAACCTTTGTCACACTTCCTCTCTTGCTTCTTTATTGCTGCTATGTAACTTTAATAATCTAACTTCTCACTGATAAATACAAATATCTTTGTCTACTTGGTTTTGAAAATTAAATTAACTTGCAAATAATCTAACTAAGGGTAGGCTAACAGGCCTGTGGGCCAAGCCCAGCCTCTACAAGTTTTAGTAAACTTCAATTGGAACATAGCCCATACTCATTTGTTATTTTACAGCCATTTCTTCATGTTATTGTAACATTAAAGTCTTGTATTTAGGAGACATGATTTGCAAAACCTAATATTTATTGGGCATGTCTACACAGGAAAAGTATGCCACCCCCTTGTTTAACTCAAGGGGAGAAATTTCTTCTTAAAAGGAAACAGATCACTACTTTTCTGTCCAAAGCATGACAGAAAACATAGGAGAATGTCTTCCTACTACTCATTCAAACACTGAATCATTTTTTAAAAGAATATGGACAGAAACCAAGCTTCCCAATAGTTTCAGAACTATAATCCAGCTTACCTATGAGTGTCAGGTTAAGTAAAATAAAAACTTAAAATATAGACAGTTTTACCTATTTCTTGGTTGGCTTCCGGCATCCTTTTCTCCTCAGTCACACGTTTTAACCAGTCTTCTTTTGTACTTTTTATTCCTGAAACTATTTAAATATTCATTTTCAGATCTCTAGACTGTGCTACTCATCTCTTTTAGTACTATAATGAAGGAAAAACCTCATTAAAAGCCTCAAACAGATTTTAGAAGGCATTAGCTATACTCACACATTAACTCTAAAAAGGGCCTGAAAAAATGCTTTCTCCATATGAGGTGACTGAATCTCACAATTATAAAGTTTATCTTCATAATGTAATTATGTTTCTCTCACCTGGACTGAACACCAACACATGTCAATGTACTTAAAGGCATGACACAGAACATACCTCACACTGCTGCACCCATATCCAACGTTTCTGTTACAATCAGGTCCTCAGATTCTAATAATCTAGTTTTAAGAACCAAGTGTAATCAATACAAATTTATACTCTATATACTCACATATCCATACACCTTCCAAGAAAAAGTAACTAATTCATTGTAACATTATACACGCCAACAGATACTGTCTGAACAGTGCAAGAGAAACTAAGATTTCCATTCAAATCCTTTAGTCTTCCAATCTGGGTTTTCTCAACACAATGTTTTGCATATAATAACCACAACCCTTAAATATTTCCTTACTACCACAAATATTGAGTCCCCTATTTTCTCCTTCCATCTAGCACTATGTTGAGAATTCTATCCTTCAGCTAATGAACAGTCATGATTGCCATTCTGGGGTATATGAGAAGGTACCACTTTAACTTTAGTGATGTAATAGTCACCAACTGACTCAAAGATGGCAAGAAGTTGAACTACTTCTGTATATACAAAAAGATTTCATTAACAATTACATCTATTAATATTTAGACCAAAACTTCAAAATCACTGGGGCTCTGAAATTTTAAGCCCAAACAACTAAACAAAAAGCAAGACTTAAGATAATGTATACCTGATACTTTTATAACTGCTCAAGGAATGTTCTTCACTCCTTAGTGAAAAGGGAGATCTTTTGTATTTGGAAAACCTTGCAAATTTTATAAACCTTGTCATTAATGTGAATGTAATATAATTTACAACAAGTGGGGCAAAAACTTTTAAAACAAATATTGACTAATGAACTATCAACATAGTGAGAAAACCTCAGTAAACACAGACGTCAAGAGAGGTGCTCTGCCACTTGTTGACCTACAATGCATTACACTGTTGCAGACACCAGCAAAAAACAATCATACTGGACCTTGCACAGGGGCTTGCTCCTTCCTAGATGTGTGCTGCAGATCCTTCTGGTCTTCAACAGTGTTTGTATTCTTAAACACTCCATCTGGACATAATTTAAACTCCAGCATGCTTAGTTTTTCTGTAGTATCTTTCACAGGTAATAGGTTCTTAGATTTACTTTCTGGTCTCTTTTCTTTAAGCTTCCTGGGTGAATTGTCTAATTTTGTGAGACAAATGCGCTCACGTTCAGTGCATTTAAATGCAACTCTGTTCAGATACAGCTTCCTTTGATCCTTTGTTTGGGAAGACATTTGGCTTAATTCACCTTCATTATTTATATTATTTAAATTTTTGTCTAGCTTGGTTCTATCAATCCACATTTTATCAGACTGCTTTCCACCAACTGTTCCTTTAATATTCCTTGAAATATATGTTTTAGACTCTTTGGAATGATGGATTTTGATGCTTTTACCATGGCCTGAACCAATATTTAATGATTCCTTACAGGTTTGTACACTGCCATGGGGTCTCTCACTTGATTTCCCACAACTTTCCACCTGCACAGGAAGTTTACTGGGCCTCATATGCTGAGAATCACTGTTTTTCAGACAGTTTTTCTTTAATGCTTCCTTATGCTTCTGCCTTGATAAATACTCCTTTGGTGATAGAACTCTGTTAATTTTAGATGAGCTATCCTTAGAGCCCGAGGATTTAACATTTGATACTGTCTTTTCTTTAATCCAAGCTCTTTCACTTGGAGTTGAAAAATTACAGAATTTAAATGCACCACCTGCCACATTTTTATTCTGCTCCTGTTTATCATGTTTCTTCCTCTTTATCTCTGAATCAAGTATGATCCGTTCATCTAACTTCCTTTCTTCCAAAGATTTTTGTTTAGAGCCACCCGATTTCAATTTTCTCTTTTCTGGCGATACTGATTGTACCAAAGAACCATTCTTCGTATTCAAATCTTTCGTTTTGCTTGTCAAAACACTCATCTTTGGTTTTAGTGGCCGTATGTTTTGTGCCATAAACTTCCTCTGCAGGCTCTCCTGAGAAAATTTTGCAATTTTATTAGAATGAAAAGCTACCTCATGAAATTGCAGCTTTCTCTTTCTTTTGTGACTCTGCAAAGAATCCATTTTTTTATCACCTTTAGATAAAGGTTGACCGGATAATTCTTGCTCTGTCCTTAGTGAACTGTTGCATTCTGTTTTGGATTTATCTTTTATATTGCTGCTTTGCTTTGTTTCAGGAAAATGTTTTTTCTCAACTGGAGAAGTCAAAGGAATCTTTGGAGGATTATTTAGAGGACTGTTAAATGCAACAGGAACATCTCTGTCAGAGGTTCTCTCTCCTTGTTTATAACTCTTGGCCTCTGAAGGAGAACATGGATTTGTCTGTTCTGTTTCTTTTGAAGTTGACTTCTTAATGGAATTACACTGGCATTGAGGTACTCCTTCATAGACCATAGAGAGCCACCCCAACGCACAGCAACGGACATCATCTTTTTCCGAATCCAATGGTACAGAATCACAATGTTCTTCAGTTCTGTGTGCCTGTGGGTCACACTGGTTCTCTTCCTTTGTTACAGGCTTTTCTTTCTGAGGTTCTGTCAGTTTGTCTACCTCATTGGATTGATCGTCCTGTTCAGGGAACAATTCTTTCATCTGATCTGTGTTTAATATTGTAATTTGTATCTGGTCTGTTGAACCTCTGGAGTTAGAATCAGTTTTACCACAAGTTTGAGCTTCTGAGATTTGGTCTGCCATCTGCTGTACCACAGAACTTTCATGCATGTTCACAGGTTCGATACCGTAGGGAAACTCTTTTAAAAGTTCTGACAGCTGATCATGTAGGTATAAGATTGATGTCTTATCATGGAGACTTTCATCTGTTGTAGGATCCTGTTCAGTGTAATTGCAGGACAAACCAGCTTCCTGAGGGTAACTATCCTGCTGAATAGCAGCTGATGAACATGTATCATTTGCCATGCTTTCATTTTCAGTGATATGCTCCAAACTGCTTTCCTCTAGAATTCCACTCTTTACTTCAACACACTTCAAACGTGACAGTGCTGGAGGTTGCAGGGATTCTGACTGATCTGTGATTTTATTTGAAACATCTGTGCACTGCACAAATACATCTTTTTTAAAGTCAAAGTCTTTATTTTCAGTGATGCTGTCTAAATGTTCATTTTGCTGTCCACCATTCATCATTTGGTGATTGGGTAGAGGTTTCTGTGGCTCAACTTTTTGCAAAGGGAGCGAGTTGAATATTTCTGCTATTTGGGAATCATAAGAGGTATCACCTTCAACAAGAGAACAAATACTGCCAATCTGTAATACATCACTGCCCACACTACTACTGTCCTTTGATATATATGAGGCTTGCTGATCACTCACAGGACACTGGATATCTGGTTCTGATTCATTGTGCTTTCCTTGATTGGTATTAGGTATGCCTTCTGAACTAGTATTAGTTGACTCACTTTGCTTGTCCTCAATTAGTGGGAAAATCGTGATGCCTGTAGTACTTGTTACTGGTTCATTAACATTAGTCTTCAAAGCAGCAGTATTTTCCGTCAATTTATTTTGTAAGCTACAAACACTGCCTTCTTTAATAACTGGATATGCTGTTTCAGGTAAAGCTTCAGATGCTGTATCTTTGACAGACAGTGTATTGACATCTGAAAGAATTAAGGGTGATACTACAGCAATCCCTTTTGTAGTAGTTGTTCCTGAAGACTCATAATTTTGTGCTACCACTGATGAAATAGTTTCTTGTGAGCTGTTTATTATCTTATTCTGAGAATTTCCCACAGGTGAAAATGTACTACTCTCACATATGGGTGCGGGCTTTGAAATTGCAATGGCTGTGGTGTTTGTTTTTGACTCATTACCCTGTTTCTCTTTGTTAGGTTCTGAAGGTTGCTTTTTCCACAAAGACAGACATGTTGCTAACAACTCCATGGAAAAGTGAGAGTCACTGTTAGAAGACACCCCATTAAAGGATTTACACTCAAAACAAGAAGTGTCTGCAATTTTGGCATTTGTATTACAAGTCCCTGGAGGATTTACAATTTCCATGGTTTTCAGTTGGTTACCAGTGTTTTCAGTATTTGGATTCATTTCAAAATTATGCAGTTTAGAATCATGAATACGTTCACTAGTATCTTTTAATAATTTCTTCTGAGTTTTATCTCCAGAAGTAAGTAAACTGAGAATTAGCCTATTTTTATTTGGGTATTTTGAAATATATTCCTCAGATGATGTAGAATGAGGAAGAAAATTTATTTCAGAATTTGTTGGCACATTCTGTGTGATGCTGGCAAAATTTCCTGATGAAAGCTGGGTGTTATTTAATGGTGCCTGAGTTACCTCAACAGTTGATGTTTTTAAAGGATTCACAACTTCCAAATCATGGACTTGTTCTGGTATTGGCAACTTTTCTGAACAGGCAGAATTTAGTAAAACAGAACTGACTTGGTTAAAATTTCTGTCCTGAAGGCTGGAACTCAACATGCTATGTTTTCTATTAGTTTCTTCTGCAGATTCCATTACTGTTGGTGGTTTATCCTCCACAGTCTCTGGTGTGACTAGGGTTAGTTGTGGTCCAGACTGGATTTTGGCAGTTTGTTTCAAAGACAATCCAGAATTTTGAGCTGATTCACTATAAGAGGTATTAGGTGTTTTAATACAACCTGCTGCCATCAAGAGATTTTTATTAATTTTAATTTTCCTTGCAAGATCTGAAAACTTCTTTTTTATTTCTACTAATGTTTTAATATCCCTCACTAACTTTTCTTTTGTGGCACTTGTGTCCAGTACTTGACTTGAAGTTAGATTTTGAGAATCCACTCTTCTCTCCTGATTATTTTGAGCAAGAGCCTGAGCACCAGTCACAGATGATCTAACAGGTTCATTAAAAGGATGATTGACACTGGTATTTACTTTCAAATTACAGGAACTTCCCATCATACTGAAATTTCCATTAAGGTTTTGCCACTGCTGTTGAAAGTCTCTGCAAAAGTCTTTCCTCATTTCAGGTAAGTGCATTTCTTGACTCTGAGGAACTTCCATAGAGGACTGTTTAACAACACGTGGAGTACTTTGCAAAGACTGGCTTGCATATCTACAGTCATGAGGAGGAGGAGGTCTTTTGTCAGTTTGAGTAACTGCATATTGATATGATGGTACAGCTGCAATCTGCTTTGACTTAAATGTCAGTGCAGAATTTGGAGATTGATTATTTTTAACTTGGAATGATACAGATGACATAGGATTTTGTTTCTGAACAGTAAGGTCCTGCAAAAAGCTTCGTGATGAGTAATTGTATTGCTTTGGAAGTGGTCTGTAATCTTGGTAAGTCAGTCCACTGGATGCACGCTGAGGTGCCCAATCAACCTGTTGCTCTGACAAAGTTAGGTTAAGTCTTGGGTTTCCTTGATAAGCTATAGGAACTCTTCCAGAATTAGAAGGGATCATATGCAGTTGCATAGAATAGCTATCTGATGTTAGAAACTGATTCTGTAGTGCATGCACATTGGGTATATTCGTTCCAAAACCAGTTTGATGAGATACAGTTCCCCCCGTATGAGAAAGCGTAGAACTCCCCACTGGTGAGTTCAACCATACATCTTGTGTAACTCCTGAAGAAATCTGCAAATCGTGACTTAGTTGTTTGGGTCCTTTAACATTTGCATACGTTATTCTTTCTACTGAAGTTTGTGAGGTCACAATGGTCCCACTATGCAAATCAGAAATAGGGATTTGTGGAGGAGTCTTAAGATTCCTGATGTTGAGCAGCGGCTGTGAAACTGGATGTGAATTACTGAGAAACAGGCATGGTTCTTGGTTGCTTCCAGGATGGAAAGAACTTTGAGATGTTGTGGTAAGTGTATTTACTAAACCTTGCTCCAAAAAAGATGCCTGTTTTTTAGGATACTGTGGTGGTAAGGTGACACTCTCTGGTTTTGCATTCCAATTCATTGTCAAGTTGATGCAGTATCAGTGTGTTAAAAGCCAACTGTTTTGAATGCCAGGAATCTGTAGGAAATAAACATCTTTTATCAAAAAGCTGTTTGGACTGGTCAGAATTTTTAAGATAATTTTCTCAGCTTACCTGTATTACTAATGCTGACCATGACAATCAAAATTCCTGAAACCTCACACTAGACAAAACCTCATCTTCAATTCAGGTAAGAGAAAGAGCAAAGGAAGATGTAACAATAAATATGGAAAATCTCAATAAAATTTTCAGTGGTGTTTAACAGAAACTCATTCTACTCAATATAATTAGCAATTTTTTTTTTTTGCTACACTTAAGAGACAACTACTTCCTGTATTTATTTATTTTAACCAACTCTTTATTCTAAGATACCCATACTCACTGTAAAAAATTTTTTAAAAAATAATCAAGCATATACTAAAAAGCCTTTACTACTACTGTTCATCTCCAGTGTCTAACTCCCTAGAGCTATCTACTACTGTTAACTTTTCTTTCAAAAAATTTCTACACACAAAAATCACCAACACATAAAATCTGATTCTTTTAAAACAGAATTCTACTGTCTACAGTTTGCCTGATTTTCATCCCTTTAACTAGGACATCTCATCATTCCACTACACATATACCTATCTCACTGTCTGCATAAACATTCCACTTTATATCAATATTTAACCATTTCTCTATTGATGAATATTTGGTTTTCTTAGGATTTTGCACTTATAAATGATCCTATACTAAAGCATGTATTTATGCTTTTATATTTGTGCTAAATGTTCCTGGAAATTTCTACAAGTGAAATTCATATGTCAAAAGACATTAAAATTGTTTTCATAATCAGTGACAAATTGCCTTTCAAACAGATTGAAATAAATATACTCTCACTAACACTTACATGGACATAGCTAAAAAATGGACAAATCTGTAACCATAATGGGCTTCCCTAATGGCTCAGCTGGTTAAAAAAAAAGCCAAAAAACCAGCCTGCCAATATAGGAGACGCAAGAGACATGAAATCCTTAGGTTAGGAAGATTCCCTGCAGAAGGAAATGGCAACCTGCTCCAGTGTTCTTGCTTGGAAAATTCCATCAACAGAGGAGCCTGGTGAGCTACAGTCCATGAGGTCACAAAGTCAGACATGAATGAGTACATGTGTGTACACACACACACAACCATATTAAATGACAGGGTAAACAAATTTGACTGAAACATATAAACAGAATGCCAAACAACTGCAGAATACACATTCTTTCCAAGAGCACAGGGAATTTTTACCAGCATTGACCATATTGCTAGGCCATAAACAGATCTCATTTTTGAAGGATAAATAATTCAGATTAATTCACAGTAGAATTAATCTAGAAATTGTAGAAGGAACTGGGAAATTGCCAATAATTCAGAAATAAAGAATGCAGTGGTGTCTCTTCCTCTAAATATCCAATGGGATATCAGTCCTACTGAAGAAGATTCCACCCTAACTGTCAGGAGACGTTCAACTTTAAGGGATCCAATGTGTTCCATTTTCTTTCTTTGTGTGCCATTTCTCAAGAACCCTCTGTTTCTTATCAGTTCCTGGAATACAGAACGAGTAGAGCTGCACGCAGTTCTCAGAACTGAGATAATGGGAAAGAGCACCTGCTTGGATTCCCTTCAGTGACTCCCTTCAGCAACCTTGTACTTAACAGACTATCCATTTTGTTGCAACTGGTGCAATTTCATTCTTTTTAACAGCTGAGTAATCATTTTACTGAAGATATATAAGCATGCATTTCTGCTAATAAAATACCCGTGTTCCACTAGAGACCTGGGTCCCCCGTGTCCTTCTTTCTGTCTCTGGCTAGTTCTTCGGAGCATGGAAGCCTACCAAACTCACTTTCTTGCCCGGGCTAAGACCTCCTTGAGAGGACGCCCTGTATCTTCGTAAGCGGTACAAGTCCTGTGTATGGGCTTTATTGGTTTTCCACGTAACCCAAGGGACATTGCTCTTTCTTTCTTTTCGTCAACTCCAGTCCCTGGGTCCCGGTCTGTAAAAGACCGCAACACCTTATGACCTCATTAAACCTTAATTATCTCCCTTAAAGGCCCCATCTCTAAACAGTCTCACTGAGGTTAGAGCTTCAATATATACATTTGGTGGGAGGGTAGGAATAGAGGACAAGACACAGTTCAGTCCATAACAGGTCCCATCCTCATATTAACATAAGACTTGACTTATTTAATAGAAGATTGGGAGACTGTGGAGGAGGTAGTGAGGAATGATTAGAATCTGTATATGCTGTCAAGGAGGAAATCACAGAATTTGCTGACAGATCCACTAGGACATGTGAGACAAAGAGAGAAGTCAAAAAAGGAGAAATAAAATGGGTTGATGTATGTTTAAAAAAAAAAGACTGGGAGATAATCTCTGCATTTATCATACAAATTTAAGAATGACAAATTAATCCAAGGAAAAGACAGAGTGAAATAAATAATGAAAACAAGATTTCATTAAACAAGAACATAGGATTAAACAAGTCACAAGTTGGTGAAGAATAAAAACTAATAAGCCTCTGTCAACACTGGTCATTTAAAAAAAAAACCCTATATTGGGAAATGAGAGTATCACTAGACCCTATAGACATTAAAATGATAGTATAGTTATTAACTATTTTCAAAACATTTAAAATTTACATGGAATAGAGAAATTCCTTGGAAAATACATACCCTAACCAGAGTTGACATAACAAAAATACTACCTCTTTAAAGAAATTACACCTATAATTAAATATCTTTTCACAAAGAAAACACCCGTGTAGCTTTTCTGGAGTATTCTACCATTTATGAAAGAGATAATCCAACATAACCTCTTCAAACGATAAAAGAGAGGACACTTCATAACTTATTTACTGAGCCTCTGATACCAAAGCTGAAAAGAAAGATAATTAAGACGTCAATCTCTCAAAAACTGACACAACAGTCCTAAGCAAAATGTGAGCTTAGGACAAAGTGACAGACTGTATTTTCATGGGCTCCAAAATCACTGCAGATGGTGACTGCAGCCACGAAACTAAAAGACACTTGCTCCTTAGGGAAAAAAAGCTATGACCAACCTAGACACCTGATACGAAGAACTGACTCATTGGAAAAGACCCTCATGCTGGGAAAGATTGAAGGCAGAAGGAGAAGGGGGCGACAGAGGATGAGATGGCTGGCTGGCATCACCAACTTGACGGACATGAGTTTGAGCAAGCTTCGGGAGTTGGTGATGGACAGGGAAGCCTGGCATGCAGTCTATGGGGTTGCAAACAGTTGGAAACAACTGGGCAACTGAACTGACTAAGAACAGTTGATAAAATTCATTAAAAGGACAATTGTATGAAACAAAGAACAGAAGTTTCCTTAATTTTGATAAATGGTAACTTTAAACAAATTTAGACTAGCAAACAGTAATATTATTAGTAATAAAACAATTTAAATAAAGGCGTCACTATCACCCACTTCTGTTCATTGTTGCACTGAAGATCGTAAAATGTGTTAAGAATTGAGAAGGAAAATATACAACAAACTATTTGTATCAGTTATGCAGGATATCCAAAACAATCTGTATATCTTTTAGATCTATTACATTATGGATCATAGTGCACTCAAACTAGATTGAAGAAGGCACGAGTTTTGGTTTTATGTGTATGATTCTTGGGAATATACATGTTTACTTTAGTATTTGCTCGTAACTAATCTAACAGTCTTTCCTGATGGTTCAGAGGGTAAAGAATCTGCATGAAATGCAGGAGACCCAGGTTCAATCCCTGGGTTGGGAAGATCCCCTGGAGAAGGGAATGGCAACCCACTCCAGTATTCTTGCCTGGAGAACTTCATGGACAGAGCAGACTGGTGGGCTACAGTTCATTGGGTCACACAACTGACTCACTCACACACACAATGTAATAACTGAAGGAGCCTTTCAAGGCCTTGTGAAATCTGTTTGTCCTGACCTGTCATTTGATCAAGGCACTAAAGAAACCTCCTCTCTTTGAGATTTTAATTTGTCAGGGAACCAGATCATCCGTACTCATCATGAAAGCATATATTTTGTGGTTTAAAAACAGGTGCCAAGAAGAAAGAGCTGTATTTTCCTCATAGGCGTTCTATCAGGAAAGCTCCTTGAATAAGACAAGTGACCAGGGAGAAGTATAATACAAAGTAAAAAGCTTTAACTATAAGACTTCCCTGGTGGTCCAGTGGTTAAAAATCCACTTGCCAATGCAGGGAAAGCAGTTTGATCCCTGGTGTAGGAAAATTCCACGTGCCACAGGGGAACTAAGCCCATTCGCTGCAACTTCTGAGCCCGTGCATACCCAGAGTCCATGGTCTGCAATAAGAGAATCCACCATGATAAGAAGGCCGCACACCACAACTAGAGAAATCCCATGCACAGCCAGAAGACCCAGTGCAGCCATAAACAAACAGCAGTACTGAAAATGTTGATGGTGAATCCCAATAATTCCCTATTTCTTATGTGAGCTTGGTGGGGTGGGACACTGTTACAGACTAAATTTTGTCCCCCCCAAATTCACATATTGAAGTCTTATCCTCCAGTGTGATTTTATCTGGAGATAGGGCTTTCAGGAAGGCAATTAAGGTTAAATGAGGTCAAAAGGGTTAGGACCTTAATCCAACAGGATTAGTGACCTTACAAGAAAGACACCAGGTATATGGCACACACAGGAAAAGACCATGTAAGGAGACATAAACATAGCTGTCTGCAAACCAAGAAGAGAGACCTCAGAAGAAACCAGAAACTTTAACCTTAGACTTTTAGACTCTAGAACTGTAAGAAATTTACTGTTTAAGCTACCTAAGCTGTGCTCATTTTGTCAGAGCAGTCCTGGCAGACTAATGAAAGAGCCTATAGTAGTATACTGTTAGTCGCTCAGTCGTGTCCGACTCTTCGCAACCCCATGGACTGTGACCCACTAGGCTCCTCTGTCTATGGGATTCTCCAGGCAAGAATACTGGAGTGGATTGCCATTCCCTTCTCCAAAAGAGCCTATCGGTAGGAAGAAAAATGCTCTTTACGAGTAATTTGGGGTTGTTGGATTTCCCCCCAACTCCCTCCACCTCTTGAGCTGGCACAGAAAAACTCCCTTAGGAGTTAAGGGACTTTCCTGGGGGTCCAAAGGTTAAGACTCTGCACTTCCACTGCAGGGGTGCAAGCTCCATCCCTCTTCTGAGAACCAAGATCCCACACACTGCTTGGTATGCCACCCACCCCCGACAAAAAGGAGGGAGTTAAAAGTTTTCTGATCTTTTTCCTGATTACAGTTTTTACTTCTGGATATAATATATTCTTAGATATTTCAAAAATATATTTTAATGGAGAGTACCAGAGTCAGGATTTCCATGGTGTATCATTTAACTTTTTCTTGGGAAAAAACTTTCCCCCCCAAATCTCCATACCCTCTGATCACCCCCAACTTGTGACAGCCATGGCACTTACCTAACAAATTCCAACGAAGGCTGAACTTAAGAACCTCTCTGCACAGGAGTAGCCAAAGTTATCTGGGGGAGAAAAAAAAAAAATCACATAAGCCAACAGATCGAGTTTACACAAACATCAACAGGTGTACAACAATTCTACTTTATTTTGCTGAAACTTTAAAGTATTTTTATTTTCCCACTCTGCTCTCCTCCCTGGTCCCCAGAGACATCAACCCATAAACATGCTCCCCCTACTCAGGGGCTTGTATTTCAGAGGGAAAAAAATAGCACTAGCTGCCACCCTACTATCACCGAATCTATAAGTCACAGCCTTGTACATGTAATCTGTATTTACAGTATCAAATCTCTTTATTTAAAATCCTACCTCTGGGAATTCCCTGTGGTCCAGATTTTAGGACAGCACTTTCACTGTTTTGGGCCTGGGTGTGATACCTGGTCAGGGAAATAAGATCCCACATGCTTGCCTTGAGCTATGGCATTAAACTAATATAAAACCACAAATACAGCAAATCAGATTTTAGGATGCTTACTTAACCCCCCTAAAGATAGAAACAAAAATGATTTTTCAAGATAATTTTATTTATTGTTTTTGGCTATGCTACATCTTTGTTGCTGCGAGGGCTCTTCTCTCTTTGTGGTGAGAGGGGGCTACTCTCTATTGCAGTGCTTGGGTTTCTCATTGTGGTGGCTTCTCTTGTGCAGCATGGGCTCCAGGGCATGCAAGCTTCAGCAGCTGCAGCACATGGGCTAAGCAGTTGCTGCTCCTGGGCTTCAGAGCACAGGCTCAAAAGCTGTGATGCACAGAGGCTAGTCTCAGGACTTCTAGAATTTGTGGAAGATGTTTTCCATGGCCCATATGGAAACTTGCTCATGTGTTGCTCTGTAGCATGTGGGTTCTTCCCAGACCAGGGACTGAATCCACATCTCCTGCATTGGCAGGTGGATTTTTTATCACTGAGTCACCAGGGAAGCCCCCAAAATGACTTTCAGAAGTAATTTGTGCTTTTATAAAATAACTTCTAAAATATACATTGAAAAAATTATTCAAGCAGCTAAAATGATACATTAGAAAATATTCACTTAATGCAAAAGAAAACAGTGAGAGACAAAAAGACATGAGACAGAAAATAAAAAGTATAAACAGCAGATATAAATCCAACTATATTTTAACAATTACACTAAAAGTGACTGGATCAAACAATTCAAATGACAGAATGTCAGATTACTTTTTTTAAAAGGGCTAGCCAACTATGTACTTAAATAGGCATACCTTTGATTCAAAGATAAAAACCATTGAAAACAAAAGGATAAAAAAAGATATGCCAACAGAAATAAGAAAGGCAGAATAACTATATACATTATCAGAAAAAAAAGGAAGACTAAAACAAAAAATTTTTCTCTACATAAAGAGGGACATTTTACAACCACAGAAGGGTCAATTCACCAATATATATAACAACTATATATATATGCACTTGAGAGCATTAAAATATAAATAAAACATAGACAAGTCAAAAACAGGCAACTCATCAAAAGTCAAAGACTTCAATTCCCCACTTTTGATAATGAACAGAATTGGCAGGAAAAAAAAAAACAAACACAAGGAAACAGGAGTTTCGAACATATTATACACACCCAGCTTTCTAGTTTACAGTGGAGATTTAAAAAAAATTAAAAACCTATAGTACCTCAGGTTGTAGGTTAGTACACAACTGTCCATTGGATGCCTCATAGAGTTTTAAGGTTGTCTGCTTCTGGCAGTTACTACATTGGATCCAACAGTTCATGTACTTTTGTCAAGTGGTAAAAGGGTCAGCAAGCAGTCTAGTGCTGGGTGCACATGCCAGCAAGCCATCAAGCTCTAGATTTTTATATTCTGTTGTGGGGAAAGGTCCTAGCTATGAATAGCTATTAGCAAGCCCTAAATAATGATTCTTGATATAGCTGGCAACAAGTTTGGCTCTACTAACCCACCCATCTGAATGTCGGTTTTACAGTTTGGAGAAGAGGCAATATTAATCTGTTAATGCTGATAAGGCAAGGTGGCCCTCACCAGGAGGGGAGGCAAGCACCCGGGTGTGTTGATACTGATAAAGTGCTAAGGTCTACACTGGGGGTGGGGGTGGGGGGGTGGGGTGGTGTTCAGTCATATTTCATATACTCCCATTTCAAAGAGAATCCATGGAAACTTCCTATGTGTCATCACAAAAACAATCAAAAGTGTTAATTAAAAATAAAAAAACACTTCTATCCTGAAAATAGACAAAAATTTATCTTTAGGTTTGATGATCCCTACATTTAAATCTTACATATTATTAATATTACTTGCTGTGAGAAAAAGTGGGAAAAAAGCAAGTCACTAAAATCCATGGCCAAGGAAGTAGTGAATAGCAAGCTGTAAACTGCAAAATTAAGATCAATTTGTGAAGCAGGAAAAAAAGGGAAGTCAATGGCTGCAGTAGACTAAACCTAACAATGCCTATGGATTTTCACATAAAATTTTCATGAAGACCTCACTAACCTCAAGACATGTGAATTTTTTAAAAATATGCTATATCCATACAATGCAAAGAATATGGTTTAACTGGAAAGCCTCTTTTATTTTAAAATCAGTCTTATCACAGAAAATTACAAACCAAAAAATACCCTAAAAATCATACCTTTAAATAATTGTATTAATACCTATCTTAACCACAAATGCACAAGCACATACAACCGCCAACAGAAAGAACTCTACTGAAATGGACCTCTTATGGTTTCCCAAGGCTAGGCCTACTTTAGGTCAGACAAAAGAGTAAGAAACAGAACATGAAAGGACAAATTAGGCCACATGAATAATTATTATGCAAGAGTAACCATTACTTTATCAAAGAAACTGGAACATTATTATAGTGAAAGATAAAGCTATTAAAAAGCCTGTTTTTAGTTCACCAGCCCAGGTTGGGTGCATGAGACACGTGCTCGGGCCTGGTGCACTGGGAAGACCCAGAGGGATTGGGTGGAGAGGGAGGTGGGAGGGGGGACCGGGATGGGGAATACATGTAAAAAAAAAAAAAAAGATACACTATGGTTGTGATTAAAAAAATAAATAAATAAATAAATAAATAAATAAATAAAAATAAATAAATAAATAAATAAAAAGCCTGTTTTTAAAAAAGGCTGTTTCAGGGTAACCTAAAAGATGCATATATAAGGACTTCCCTGGTGTTCACTTGTTAAGACTCCATGATTCCACGGCAGAAGTCACAGGTTGAATCCTTGGTCAGGGAACTAGGATTCCACATGCAGTGCTGTCTGGCCAAGAAATTTTTTTAAAAGGATGCATATCTATAGTAGTTGTCTAGCAAGCTTTGATAACGCTTTGTAAAATGAATAAACATTATCTATAACTGCTGCAGACCAAGTTAGAGAAGTCCGTATTTAATGTTGTAGATGGGAAAAAGTCTCCACCCCTTCCTTCACATCTGTGTCAACTGTAAACATCACATGATTTCATCTGTCAGCATTCCAATACCTCAAAAATATAGGATTTCTTAAAAAATATGATACTCTTCTCTCACCTCAAAAACACCTGTATCTGTTCTGGTATTTTAAATTAGAACTTTTCCTTATGGCTTTCATTCTGCTTCTGTTTCTTTGGAGAGTCCCCTGACGTGGTTAAATTGAGGAAAACTAGTATTTTCATTGAAAAACTGATCTGCAATGGAAAAAGGTACAGATACTTTTAAAAAACTCAACGAAACAACAAATACCAGCAAATATAAAACCCACTTCTGAGAAATTCCAAAGCATCAAGATTTACTCAAGCTATTCCAGCTCTGGCTTTTTGTGTCCCTGCCCCTGAATTAGGCTTTCAAGAATAAACTATCCTAAATTTTACATTTATAATACAACTCTATAAATAGGAAGAGCTAACCTTTGAAAATTTATGTCAAGAACTGTACAGAATGTTTTGAATGCATTGTCACATTTAATGGTTACAACAAATGCATGAAGCCAAGCAGTCCTAAGCAGGAGGGCTGGGGCTGGCAGGGCTGGAAGTCCTACCGTCCCAACTTTTAGGCTGGCTCTCTACACTGCTGCAGAAAGAAAGCAGATTAAGACCAAATTGATTCTTATGAAGTTTTGTCTCTAATGCAAACAGCAAAACCAATATCAGTGTCCTTATTCCCATAAGGCAATATAGAGGTGGACAAGAAAACAGACTGCTGAGAATTCTAAACTGCATTTCATAGCCAGCAGCTATATCCCAAAGGGAAGGAGACTGTCAAGTCTTTGGTGCAACTGAATCTAGGGAGGCAGAGAGAATCACCTTGTGCCACTTTTCAGGAAGCTGCTTATCAACCGTTGTACCAGAAGGACCTGTGGGGTGTCCTGTCAAAGTATCAGTCACCTGAGATTAAACAAAGCTTTCCTATGAGGCCCTACAAAAGCAAGATCACCAGAGCACCATGGTGAAGCTGTTCACCTCCAGCTCTGCTCTCCAGTCGTTCAGGTATCCAGCTCCAAACGTGATTCAGAAGCACAGGTAACTCAATTAGGTACCCTGTTCAGTCGCTCAGTGTGTCTGACTCTTTGCAACCCCATGGACTGCAGCACGCCAGGCTTCCCTGTCCTTCACCATCTCCTAGAGTTTGCACAAACTCATGTCCACTGAGTTGGTGATGCCATCCAACCATCTCATCCTCTGTCGTCCCCTTGTCCTCCTGCTTTCAATCTTTCCCAGCATCAGGGTCTCTTCTAATGAGTCGGCTCTTTGCATCAGTTGGCCAAAGTACTGGAGCTTCATTCAGCCTTGGCATCAGTCCTTCCAATGAATATTCAGGGTATTTCCTTTAGGATTGACTGGTTTGATCTCCTTGCAGTCCAAGGGAATCTCAAGAAGATTCTCCAACACCACAGTTCAAAAGCATCAATTCTTTGGCACTCAACCTCCTATTTAAGTATATTTCCACTTAGTTAACACTGGGTAAGGGTGACTAGCCAGTAACTCCCAGCAGGATGATGATCAGGCCATAACCAGGCTCCCAATATGTCCCAGAGGCCATTACGGTTCACCATTTAGCTCCCATAAAGTTAGGATGAAATGCCTCTAAAGGGACAACTGATATAATCTTTTACTCTGTTAGTTATTCCTATCATTACAGGCATATTATAGTGATTGCTTTGGTAGTCTCAGGTTGTTGACAGGATTCTAAGAATTGCAATAGAGGCATTTTGTTGTCATGGGGTTAACATCCAGATTTTATAAAACCAGAGGTTGACATTAATGATGCAGAGACCCCAAGTATCAGAAGAGACATACAGGACATAATCCACCTTATCTTCAGCAGGGTCAAGTAAAGGATGACAGATCCAGCAAACAGTTAAATTCAGAGCCATAACTACAGTCTAGAAAATGTATACAAGACAGTTCTGCTTCCCCTTAATCAGAAAACCATGAGAAATCATGACTAATAGGATAAGGTTTTCAGGCCTTTGCCCAAGGACACAGCTCCAAGGACGTCCACTCCCCAAATCAGCAGCTGCTGAGTGTCCAAATGTCCTTATAATTAAGATATTAAGAATTTCATTTGGCCTGCAGCTATGTTGAAGAGAATGGTGACAGTCTAGGGTAAATTAATGACTTCTATGCACCCCCAACCCCGTGATCAGTACTGTCTTCCTTCCCCAGCCAAGCACAGGGGAGCCATTCAAATTCTGCTGGATGAGAAAGAATGTGAAAGTATAAAGTGAACAATCCCATGCACCTGGACAACACTTTGTCCAATAACATGACTGTATAGAAGGAAAAGGTAAACTCTGATAGAATTTGTGGCTCTTTAGGGACCTAATGAAGCAGTTACCCACTGGAGATCAATTTCCATCATCCTATAAAATACTGAGGTAGAAATCATTAGGGAGTTAGTATAGGAACACTGAGACCTCAGCCTGTTTCAACAAACATCCCACTCCATTAACCTAAAACTATATCCTTTGTCTCGAATTCCTGGCTCTCAGAGGAATGTGTCCTTGGTCTGATAAATTATCAGCTCTCATATCCAGGAAAGGGTGGTAATTGACTTCTGTTCCATATGCCTGAGGGAAAAACAACTGGTGATCATTAATCTTTAGCCCATACATCTGGTCCACTGTAAAATGGTGGGGGGTCATGAGAAAAGGTCAAGGGATGGCGACTTAATGTCTAAGAAAACTAAGGATACCAAAAGCAGAAAAGGGGGAAAAAACAAAACAATAAAACTACAGACCAATTTATTATGAATATAGATGGAAAAATCTTCAACAAAATGCTAGCAAAACAAAGATAACAACATATAAAATTATTTGCCATAATGAAGTGGGACCTATCCCAGAAATACAAGATTGACTTTTCTTTTTTTTAATGTAGAGCCAATATCCTGTAACACATCAATACAATAAAGGCGACAAACCACATAACCATCTGAAATGGAGCTATAAAAAGCATGTAACATGACTGAAATTAAATGCATCCTAAAATCCAACATCCTTTCAGATAAAAACACTACAACTAGAACAAAGGGGAACTTCCTCAATTTAATAAGACATCTAAAAAAAAGCCACAGCTTTAAAGCCTGAATGTTTTCCCTCTACAAGATCAGGAACAAGACAAGGATAATCTGCTCTTGCCATTTCTATTTAACATTGTAGAAGAGGTTCTGGCCATGGCATTTGAAATAAAAGACATCCAGATTAGAAATTAAGAAGTAGAACTACCTTTACTTGCATATGGCATCATCTTGTATATCAAAAATTATAAGGAATCCATTAAGAAAACTAACAGAACTACTTTGACTAGGTTGCCTAGTACAAGCTCAATATTCAAAAATTAAATGTATTTCTATATAACAATCTAGAAAACAATTCCATTACAGTCAACAGCAAAAGAATGAAACACTCTGGAATAAATTTAACAAATGTGGAAAATTTACAGAAATTATTATACAGAAATTGTATAATTTCAAAAGAAACTAAAGACCTAAATGAATGAGTGAAAAGTATCCCACATTCAGACACTCTCAAGGTGGCAGGTAATACTTCTCAAATTGATCTACTGATTCAGGACAACTCTGACCAAAGTTCCATATGTCTTCTTTGCAGAAATTGAGAACCTGATCCTAAAATTCATTTTGAAAAAGAGCATAGTCTTGAAGGACTCGCACCTCCCAATTTTAAAACTTAAAACTACAAAACTACAGTAAACAAAGCCATGTAGGACTGAATTAGGATAGACACTAATCAATGGAACAGAAACCAAAAACAAGTCCTCACATACTTGATCACTAGGAAGAAACTAGAATCCAGAATATACAAAGAACTGGTGAAAGTGTTGCTCAGTTATGTCCAACTCTTTGCGACCCTCATGGACTATAGTCTGTGGATTGTAGCTCCTCTGTCCATGGAACTCCCAGGCAAGAATATTGGAGCAGGCTGCCAACCACCATGGGAAAGCAATAAAATCACAGGATATGAGTTAATGCTCACTACAATAGTTGTAACCAAAAAGACAAGTGTGGTAAGGACACGGACAAACTAAAATTCCTACATGTTGCTGTTGAGAATGTACATGGTTCATCAAAAATAGTCTGGCAGGGACTTCCCTGGCAGTCCAGTGATTAAGACTTTGCGTTTCTACTGCAGGGGGCACAGGTTTGATCCCTGATCCTGCATGCCAAAGTGTGGCCCAAAAAATCTGGCAATTTCTCAAAAGGCCAAATATAGTTACCAAATGATAAAGACAGCTCAGTTCCACTCCCAGGTATATACCTAAGAGAAGGGAAAATATATGTCCATACAAACACTTGTACATGAATGCTCACAGCAATATCATTCAGAGAATCCAAAAAGCATAAACAATCCAAATGTGTGTGAACTGATGAAAGGAAAACAAAACATGGTCTATTCATACAATGGAATTACTACTTTGCAATAGAAAGGAATGAAAGATACATATGCTTCAATATGAATGCATCTTGAAAACATCATGCAAGGTGTTCAGGGTCATAAGAGACCACATATTATGACTTCATCTCTAAGAAATGTTCAGAATACACAAATCTATAGAGACAAATTAGATTAAATGGTTGCCTGCAGATGGGCAGAATGGAGAGTGACCATTAATGAATACAGAGATTCTCAGGTCAAGAAAATGTTCCAAAAGTGACTATGGTATTGGTTACATAGTATTGAGTATATGCAAAACCACTGTACATGGTAAATGGGTAAACTGAATTATATGAATATGACATATGAATTATATCTCTAAACTGTAGCTTAAAAATTTTTTTTTCCAATTAACACAGACATGGGCACATGACACAATGAACTACAGACTTCTGGCAGAGCACAGAGACAAAAGGCATGATCTGTGCAAGTTGAAGCTGACTGATCATATACCTGGAGATATTAGGGCTATCCAATGAAGGGATGTGTGCCTGAGAATGAAGTCAATGCCAAAGCAGATAGCAGAGCTCAAAGACAGTGTTTCAAGTCTTTAAAACTTTCAGATTCATATGTTGGATCCAGTCAAACCTGAAAGTCAAGCCACATGGAACTCTTTAAGTTATATGATCCAATAAATTCTCTTTGGGAGTTTAAAAACTAAAATCTTGCTTATGACTTTTTGTTTCTTAAAACCTAACTGGACGATGTAATTTCTTATAATACTCTGCAATTTTAACTGCAAGATTTTATTTACAAGTGATTTCAGTTCAGTTATGATATCAAGGATGGACATACCACAGAGCTGTCTCTCAACAACAAAGCACTTAGAATTCTTCAAAGGTCCATAAAATACTTCTTTACAAGGGTTAATACAAAGTACATTTTAATTTGCATTTCAATACATTGGGTTGGTCTGGTTAGGGTGCGAGAAAGGATGAGACAGTTGGGATGATATCACTGGACTCAGTGGACATGATTTTGAGCCAACTCTAGGAGATAGTGAATGAAAAGAAAGACTGGCATGCTGCAGAGCATGGGTCAGAATCATACAGAACAGAGGAACTAAATAAAAGTCTCAAATTGAATGTTTTCTGAGCCTATTTCACACAGAATACGCCTTTGTGGGGTTAGGGGTGGCAGTGCAGAGACGACTGATTTAAATTAAAAGCAATTCTTGAAATCCACCTTTCTAAATCCTTTTTAAACATTAGATAGGATCACTTGCACTAAACATTTGCATTTTATCACGTCTAAAACATTGCTAATCTAAATGGCAAGTGGTGGTGGTTTGGTCACTAAGTCGTGTCCGACTCACTTGAGTCCATGGACTGTAGCCTGCTGGGCTCCTCTGACCATGGAATTCTCCAGGCAAGAATACTGGAGTGGGTTGCCACTTCCTTCTCCAAAATTGAAAGTGAAAGTCGCTCAGTCCTGTCCAACTCTTTGCAACCCCATGGACTATATATAGTCCATGGAATTCTCCAGGCCAGAATACTGGAGTGGGTAGCCTTTCCCTTCTCCAGGGGATCTTCCCAACCCCAGGGATCAAACCCATGTCTCCCACATTGCAGGCGGATTCTTTGCCAGCTGAGCCACAAGGGAAGCCCAAGAATACTGGAGTGGGTAGCCTATCCCTTCTCCAGCGGATCTTCCCAACCCAGGAATCTAACCGCGATCTCCTGCATTGTAAGCGGATTCTTTACCAACTGAGCTATCAGGGAAGAGAGTCCTGTATATCTAGGACAGGTTATATAAGGCTTTTGGGCAAATCTGCCCTGGCTGGAAAATTCTGTAGAAGCATTACTGACATCAAACATGCCTGCAGGTAAAAACTAGAGTTGTGTCTTGGTACTTCCTTACAAAAATAGAACCCACAGGATCTACAGGGAAGGGTTTAATCAACACAAAGCTGATAAACTGATTTAAGAGTTTAAATGGGTGAACCATCTCCTATAAGACAGGCCATAAAATACATTTCCTCTAACATGACAATAGCTAAAATGTATTAAACACTTACCATTTACCAGGAGCTCTTCCAACTGTGTTATATCTAAACTCATTAACTTATCCTAACAATCCTATGAGGTTGATACTATTGTTATCCCTATTTTACAAAAGATGAGAAAATTGATACAGAGAAGTTTAATAATACTCCCAAGGCTGCATAGATGTTAAGTGGTAGAGCCAAGGTCTGATGCTCAGCAGTGTGACTGCAAGGACCATGGTCTCAAATCATTACAGAAAGTTTCCTAATACTACTTGGGAGTTTACAGAATGGACGCCCCAGAAATGACCACTCTGGCTGTATAGGTCCCTATTTCAGGGATTGGTTCTCTCAAGAGTTCTGTTCTGTGCTGCCTTACCCCATGTGCCACAAGTAATGAATTTGAAAAATAAAATAAGAAAACAGACTATGTAGAGAATAATGTTAAGTAGACCTCTTCCTCAGTAATTTGGACCATCAACTCCTATTCCTTTTCTAGTAAAGATGAGCAAATGAATTGCTTGCTATGTCAACTGTATTACTTCTCCTCAAACTTTGTCATCAAATCCATTGTAAGCTGGTGGTGGTGTTAGCCGCTCAGTGGTGTCCAACTATTTGTGATCCCAGGTACTGTAGCCCACCAGGTTCTTCTGTCCACGGAATTCTCCAGGCAAGAATACTGGAGTGGGTAGCCATTCCCTTCTCCAGGGGATCTTTCCAAGCCAGGGATTGAACCCAGGTCTCCTGCATTGCAAGTGGATTCTTTACTGTCTGAGCTACTGTAGTTTAATACTGAACCAACACTGGGTCCACTTAATCATTCTGTTCCACAACAGATAAATTGGAGTAGACTACTTAAAGCTGACACACTTACCTTTAAATATATCGCTCCTTTATTACTGTATATGTTACCATTTTCCTCCAAACTTGTCAGTACCACTCCACAGTGTTTACTTCTTTGGTCCTAGGGACAGCAATAAACATTTTAAAATTGATAATAAATTCAATATAACATTTGTAATTGTATTTTTATTTATATAAAATTCACATTAAACTTATAATAAAAGATACATACTAATTTGCTTACTTGATATGACATTGATGCTCAAACCATGTTAAGGCTGGATCAAAAGAAAACTAAGCTTACTGAATTCTTAAGAAGGCAAAGTAACAAATAGAAACTGGGCCTGCCGTAAATTACCACTTAAGTGATAATCCAAGTGCATGCCTCCTGATCCACTCCTGTAACTCTGAACACTTTCAACTTAACAATTCTTTATCGAATTAGTAAATGAGAATCCAACTGCACAGGAAAAAATAAAACCATAACTCTTTCACGTTAACACCGAATAGAACTCGTTTGATTTACAGTTAACACATTAATCAGAAAAATCCCCAAACAAGCTCTGCGACCCGTCTATTTAAACGCACCGCAGCTCTTCCCCTTCACCTACTCTTTTTATTTTGAAGGCAGGCACTAAAATATTACAAATAAATTGTTTTCACTGAAACCATTCTCTGAAAACTTGCTGTTCCCAAAGGACATCTGCTTAGGAAATTCGTATCCCTCGAGAACATCTAAAATCCGTACGCATTTGCGCATTTAAAAATGCCTCGAGGGACTAACTACTGCTGAGGAACGGAAACCGACTCCGGCACAAACGTGTTTGCGGGCCACTTGGAGACGCAAGCTGAGCAATTTTGTTTTGGGAGGTTCGGCCTAATGGGGGTGGGGAGGAAAGGAACACTGGAAAAATAAATTCAAAACAAAGATTTTTTTTTTTCAAGCCAGAGACAGGAAAACATTAAAAACATAAGCCACTCTCACATCCATCAGTCTAACCAATCGCCTTGCAGTCTAACAAAATGCGCCCTCGCAGTCGCCACTCGCGACCTTATGGTGAGGAAAGGCGTTCTACAGAAAACACCCGGCGAGGCGCCGCCCTCCGATTCAGGGTCGGCATCCGCCCCGGTTCCCGGCCCACCCCGCGCTGCGGGCGGGCACCGGGCCGAGCCCGGCGGGCCAGCCCTCACGGCTGGCCCGAGATCCGAGCCCCCGGAGCGCCCGTAGCCGCCGCTCAGTCCCCACCACAGAACAAAAGCGCTCGCCGCCGCACACGCAGCCCCCGCCCGCGGGCACTTGGGCTGCCGGCACCCCCGCCCAGCCGAGAACCCGACGAAACGTGCGAATGCCAGCGGGAACCAAGCCCCCCACTTACCTACCAGAGCCGGACCCAACCGGAGCGAGCCGGGAAAACGCAGCTCCTCTCGGCCCCGGAGTTTAAGTCAACTCGGCTCCGCCCCCAGGGGCGGGTCGAGGTGGAGGCCCACTCCCGGAAAGCCAACCCCGCCCCGGCGCAACGGCAGGAGCGAGACCCGGGGGTACCGGGTACCGGGGTCCTAGTGCCGCTCGGATGAAGTAGAGTCCGGGAGCCCGCCCCTCCAGTTATCTCCCAAGCTTGCACAGCAAGCTCATGTATCTGAAGAAGAAAACTTCTCCAACAGTGGCTCTTTGTCTTTAACTTGCATCAGAACCTTTTGAAGGATTTGTTTAAAAGGGACTGAAGAGCACCACCTACAAAATTACCCATTCAGTAAGTCTAACTCCGGGCTGAAAATGTATATTTCTAACAAAGGGGAACATCCTTTAACACAGAGAAACTTTCTCAAAGGAAATAGACTCTTTTTGCCTGAGGATTTCTATAGATCAAAGTTGTGAAAATTAATACAGTAAAGGGAAACCTCACCAAAATAGAGTTGAGAGGCCAGAAGGGGGAGCTGTCATGCAACACGGTACCACTCTCAGAAAATTACAGAAAGAATTGTCCATTACAGGGCCCAACAGGAAAAGATGTAAGCTGTCCAACAAACTTTTTGACCAACCCATACATTGCGGCTCATAAAAGAAATAAGACTACCCCACAACTCAGCCAATGAGAAACTGTTACCCTCACTTTTCCCCAATGAAATTTCCTTCAAAAGAACTGCTCCCAAACTCCGCCTTTTTCTCCATTAAAGTAACTTTGCTTTGTTTGTTGGACTATGGCTTTTGCTATAGTTTGCTAGACCCAAATTGCAGTTTAGTTACCAAATGCATACTGACACTGCCTGCTGCATGACTGGCCGATAAATCGAGGGGCCAGTTGTTGGAACAAGGAATAGCGACTTTATTCAGAAAGCCAGCAAACAGAAAAGATGGCAGACCAATGTCCCAAAGAAACATCTTAAACCTGAATTAGAATTCAGGCTTCTTTTATACTAAAGGGGGAGGGAATGTGGTTGGCTGTTGCAGGTATGAAGGTGTGACCTTCTTGGTGCAGGTGATGTGATAACCCTCTGCTCCTGCAGCTATCTACATAGGTCTGGTTATGATGGTCCTGTAAACATAAAAAAAAAAGACAATTGTTATTCTCTGTTATGCAACTTTTTATCTCTGCATAAGAGAAAATTGGGCTTCCCTGGTGGCTTAGTGGTAAAGACTTTCCAGCCAATGCAGGAAAACCAGATTTGATCCCTGGGTCAGGAAGATCCACTGGAGAAGGAAATGGTAACCCACTCCAGTATTTTTGCCTGGGAAATCCCATGGACAGACAGCCTGGTGGGCTACAGTCTATGGGGTCATAAAAGGGTAACACTTAGTAACCAAACAACAATAACAACAAATGAAAACTGTTAAACATTTAAAGGTCAAGCCTGGGAGGCAGAGCCTTGAGAATGGACTATCATGTACATTTCAGGCTACAGGCAACATTCTTTTGGACAAAGCTTCAGAACCAGCATGACTAAGCACCAGCAAAAGGTTAGAGCTAAAGGAACAGATCCAATATGGAGTCAGGTTTGTTCTTCTGTGTTACAGGTCTCCTGATATTCTAGAATAAACCCATTTTTAGCTGGGAAAATAACTTTCATTTTTAAAGTCAACAAGGTAAATGAGAAATCCAACCTGAGTGAATAAGAATGAGAAAGGGCAGCAGTGCTTAGTTCTTGCAATATACAAGAAAGGGTATTCCTTTGCTCTCATGACTCCACCACTCATTAGACATATAGCTTTGGGGAAATTACCTAACCTGTCTCTGCTCAGTTTTCTCATCTGTAATTGAGAATAACATTAATATTTACCTCAGGACTGTTGGGATGCTTACATCAACTAATATATGGCTAAAAGCAATTCCTGGAATATGGAGTGGTATACTTGGGTCACATAAGGGGTTTTCTAGAACCTAAGCCACACAAGTCAGCAAACAGAAATGAACCCAAGAAACAAGGTGTTTTGTTGCAGGAAAGTCTGACACAGCTCCCACTCCTATAGAGCCCATCTCTCTGTTATCGCTAAGTTGTGTCCAACTCTTGCGACCCTGTAGACTGTAACCTGCCAGCCTCCTCTGTCCTTGGGATTCTCCAAGCAAGAAAAGTGGAGTGGGTTGCCATTTTCTTCTCTGGGGGATCTTCCTGACCAGGAATTGAACCCACGTCTCCTGCATTGCAGGGAGATTCTCTACCGACTGAGCTACAAGGGAAGCCCCCTATAGTGCCTAAGGAAGGAAGCCTAAAGAAGATGTTAGTCCAGCAAGATGTAATGCCCAAGAAGCTACAACTCTATTTGAGATGGAGTTACTGATCTCTGTGCTGTGTATCCTTGCCTGTGTTTGTGCTGACTTTCTCCTGTCTCCTTTAGACAATGAAAGCCTGTCTGATTTTCCAAAGTGTAGTCTTTTCACCACTCCTAGAAGTACAACTGACGTTTGTCAATACCGCAGCCCTAAAGGGTCACCAGCAAGAAGACTTGCATGGGGAGGACACAATCTCCAGGACCTGAAAGTTGTTTAATCAGGACTATAAGTTGCCTTCTCTTTAAGACATTTATAACTCAGTATGCCAAATGAATAACTTTGTTATCTGACTGGTCAGGCTGGGGAAAGATCCCTCAAAAGATTAGATTGTTCTATGCTGTGTCCCCTATCATAAATTACAGATCCTCTCCCTGTGTTTTACAGTATTCAAAAGAAAGTCTCTCGAGTCAAATTACTTTGGCTATAGACATCTCAGTCTTTCAAGAGCATAATACTTAGACTCAAGGCTTGTTAATGCCTTAACTTAAAAAACATGTTTTAGAAAAGTGCATGACATCATTAGCAAGTCTATAGTAAGAAATTTCTAAAAAATAAAGATGCCTGTTATTCATTTAAGAGATAAATGAGGTCACTGATTTTTTTTCTTGTGCATAGTCACTGAGTTGTGTCTGACTCTTCGTGACCAAACAGACTGTAGCCCACCAGGCTCCTCTGTGCATGGGGATTCTCCAGGCAAGAATACTGGAGTGGGTTGCCATGCGCTCCTCCAAGAGATCTTCCCACCCAGGGATCGAACCGAGATCTCCTGCACTGCAGGCAGATTCTTTACTGCCACCAGGGAAGCCCTGGTTGTCCCCAATATTCTGTTCTTCCTCATTAGTAGTATTTAGGTACCAGGTCACTTTCCAGGAGAATACATTCCCCAAGCCTCCCTTGAAGCTATATATTGCCACATTTCAGATCTCACAATGACATATGAGCAAAAAATGTTGTATGCAACTTCTGTGTGAAGGAATGTCTTACCTTGAAATTCCTCTCTCTAATTTGTTTATGCTGGAATGTAGAAATGGCAGTAACCTGATTTCAACCTCAGAAAGGAAAACTGTTCCTTTTGTCTCTCTTTTTATCTTTTATATTTTGTCCTACATCCTTTTGAAGACGATGGGCTGCTTTTCTGGGTGCCTGATGTCCTCTGCTAGGGGTCAGAAGTTGTTTTGTGAAGTTTGCTCAGCGTTCAAATGTTCTTTCGATGAATTTGTAGGGGAGAAAGTGGTTTCCCCGTCCTACTCCTCCACCATCTTAGCTCCTCTCCCCGAGGAAAACTGTTCCTAAAGGCAAAAATTCTTTTCCTTTCTCGTGCCATAAGTTTCTCTGGCAGTTTGGTGGAGCTATAGACTCCTTCACAGAATAATGTTTTGGAATGCTTAAAATAAAATATATACAATTACAAAAGAAACTAATTGAGTACAAAAACTTAACAAAATATTTTAAAAAACAAATGTGTGATATGATAATGTTTCTGTATTAACAAAATAAATAAGATCTAGTAGCGGATCTAATAGCAACTGTGATTTTGAAAGTGATGGACATAAATGCCATTTCAAGATTATCTGCATTAACTCTAATAACATAAGAATACCTGTGATTTCTGTGGTGAAAAAACATTAATAATGCTATATTTCTGTGGCTTTGTTGCCAACATTTACATTTGAAGGAAATGGTATCTTTCAATAAAATGTTTAGTGAAAATAAAGTTAATTGTTTGCCATCCAAATTCATGGTATTCATGAATTCTATCCATTGATGTGGTAAGCATAAGTTTGGACCATATGACTTTCACCTCCTGGTGTTAATCCATGGTTATTATTCAGTTCAGTTCAGTCACTCAGTTGTGTCTGACTCTTTGCAACCCCATAGACTGCAGCATGCCCGGCCTCCCTGTCCATCACCAACTCCCGGAGTTTACTCAAATTCATGTCCATTGAGTCAGTGATGCCATTCAACCACCTCAAACTCTGTCGTCCCCTTCTCCTCCTGCCTTCAATCTTTGCCAGCATCAGGGTCTTTTCCAATGAGTCAGTTCTTTGCATCAGGTGACCAAAGTATTGGAGTTTCAGCTTCAGCATCAGTCCTACCAATGAATATTCAGACCTGATTTCCTTTAGGATGGACTGGTTGAATCTCCTTGCAGTCCAAGGGACTCGCAAGAGTCTTCAACACCACAGTTCAAAAGCATCAATTCTTTGGCACTCAGCTATCTTTATAGTCCAACTCTCAAATCCATACATGACTACTGGAAAAACCATAGTTTTGTCTAGATGGACCTATGTTGGCAAAGTAATGTCTCTGCTTTTTAATATGCTGTCTAAGTTGGTCATAACTTTTCCTCTAAGGAGCAAGCATCTTTTAATTTCATTGCTGCAGTCACCATCTGCAATGATTTTGAAGCCCAACAATAATAAAGTCTGTCACTGTTTCCACTCTTTCCCCATCTATTGGCCACGAAGTGATGGGACCAGATGCCATGATCTTAGTTTTCTGAATGCTGACTTTTAAGCCAACTTTTTTACTCTCCTCTTTCACTTTCATCAAGAGGCTCTTTAGTTCTTCTTCACTGACACCACAAGGGTGGTGTCATCTGCATATCTGAGGTTATTGATATTTCTCCTGGCAATCTTGATTCCAGCTTGTGCTTCATCCAGCCCAGCATTTCACATGATGTACTCTGCATATAAGTTAAATATGCAGGGTGACAATATACAGCCTTAACATACTTCTTTCCCAATTTGGAACCAGTCTGTTGTTCCATGTCCAGTTCTAATTATTGCTTCCTGCATACAGGTTTCT